CTTATTCTGGAGATTGGGGGGGGGGGTGTCTCATGAACTATGTGCCTGGCCTTGAACCTTGATCCTCCAGATCTCAGCCTCCCAAGTAGCTAGGATTACAGGCCTGAGCCGCTGGCACCTGGCAGATTTTAAGCTAAGTTAAATAAAACTCAGATTTCTCAAACAGAAATAACTGAATTTCATGATACATGTTCATTTATGCGATAATTTAAATTACCAAGAGACAAATGCATTTTTACATCTTTCAGGAATGTTAAGTTGCCTAATACTGTTTTAGTCACAAGCAAATCCACCAACTAAACAATTAATTTGAATGTGCTGGGAGACATGGAAAGCAAAGTATTATTCACTACAAAATCTTACCATCTCCCTTGGCCAACCAAGACACTTCTCAAATTGCAGACTATTTTGACATCTTAAAAACAAAACTAAAGCTATTCTGGCACAGCAAATAACCCAAAAGTTCTAAATGCTTTTGTTTTTTTAAACAGTAGTAAGTACCATTTCACTGGTATGGCACAGAATTTGAAATATCACTTGGATGAAGCTGACAGTTTCTCATAGTGGAAATAATACTATTTACATTATATAGCAAATTGAGATGCTTACCATTGTTGACATGTAATTAATGCTTAGTAAATGGTAATTATGCTGGCAATTGAAAGTAGATGGGAAAAATCCATTTTCTTATTTATCCATTTGAAAGTTCTACAGTAATATGCTAAAAACAATAACCCAGTGGTTTTCAACTCTGACTGCAGGGTTAATCATACACAGTGCTTTTAAAATATACCTCTGCCCAGGCCCCATGTCAAACTAAACTGATTAGCCTCTGAGCATGGGACTTAGGGATCAATGTTTAAAAAAATTTGTTTTTAAAAACCCAATTCCCCCCAAGTGATTCTAACACGCAGTCTGAGTTGAGGCCCAATGCATTAACTCTTTTCTCAAATACTATTAGATTATGTTAAAATAATGGAAGAGCTTAGTAAGGAATATGATGGCTTTTAAAGATACAGCTCCTAAAACAAACACATGGAAACTGGACTCTTGTTTCTCAATTTTTTGAGACATTTCAGGATTCAGAAAACCTATTTCAGGATTCAGAAAACCTATCAACAGGAGTAGTAATATAATGCAGGCTATCATCAACGTATTATGTTCTTTTGAAACAAAAAATCAAGTAGCTCAATAACCACAGGGTAAGATCTGACCTCCCCAGTTTACTGTTCAAAAGACAAAAGGACCAAACCTGTAATACACAAACTCCTCTACGTTTCATGTAACTTTCTTTAACCTGCTTTAAACAAAGATGGGTTTAAATATTAAAATTACCGAAGTATAAAAACATTAAAAATTGATCTAAATACAAAATACACTGAAAGAATACTTGTATGTGTCTAATCAAGAACTGGATGATGGGCATATTCATGAGGCACCCATTTTTAAAACTATAAACATTATTAATACCATGTGAAAGAAAAGTGATCTGAGAAGAAATCCACTAAATCTCTCTTCTTGAGGTATCTGAAAATGTATTTCAAGATCCTGAAAGACAAAAGACCAAAGTAAATCATACTTGAGCATTCCATTGATATTAAAGGAACTATGGAATACCAACAAGAGATCTCAATAATTTGGTGAAAGGTAAAATCTGACCTTCAGTTATTTTTTGAAAGAACTTAAGATTCTCATGTGTACTGTTCTTGCTCATTAGTTCCTCCAGAAATTCTCTCAGAAACTACCAAGGTCAGCAAACAAAAGGAAGAAACAGCATGAGAACATTAAGATAACAAAAATTGCAACAGTTAAATGTTCTTGTGGGGAAAAAAAATCTTAAAAAAAGCATCACGAGAAGAAATATGTATAGTCTGTAAATTGTATTTCTAAATCAGAGAAAGCGAAACATACTAAAAAATATAAAAAACATTTTGAGCTCACCCTTGGAACATCAATTCCAATTACTTCAGGCTTTCATTCTACCCAAACACTGGAACAATAAAGTTGAAAGGGTTAAAAATTACAAGCATGACAAAGCACATGAATTTCAAATTTGAGAAAAGAAATGTTGACACCTTTGTATATTTAACACGTAAATCTTCCAAGAATTTGAAAGGCGTTTGCTGAAAGCAAAATGGCAGCCCAGTGAATCAGTAGGCCAGAGACACCTAAGGAGCTTGTCTCTATTTTTAAGTTCAAGTGTACGGTTAAGAAAGCCAAGCTGATCATGGTTAACTTGTCCGTATCATAAAGGTGGACAATGAGCTCTAAGAAAGGATTAAGTACCTGCTGAACAGCTTCCTAATCGGTGCACCCAAAATTATTCTCCCTGAAAAGTGAAATTATACAAAGGATAGGTAGGTTTACGAGGCTCGTAGGTTTCCAGGTAAAAGGACGCCACAAATACATTCTGCTCCAAAAATAAAGGACGAATATTTAGTGTACAACTGCAAGTCCCTCAGTAAATTCAACGCCAATCTGAGGCAATTATATGCACCTGTAAACTGCGGCGTGAAAATTCAATTAACGCTAGAACTCCGCAACTCCCCACACTAGCGCGCCGGAGCTAAGCAGGTTCTGAGGAAAAATCTTCAGATCCCCGTGGAAATCCCGGTCCTTGCAGAAATTCACACAAGCGGCGGCAACAACAAAAAAGCTAGCCACCCGCTTCCTAAGTCCTTCGATATTTCCCAATGAATGAAAAGGCAGCTCTTTCGCACAGCTGGGGCGTCCCAGCCCGGGAAGCGGCCGGGTTTATCGCTCACAAACTTGCCCACGCTGGGATTTCTGCTGCCGAAACTGTTGAAAACGGGAAGGTGCAGGGTCCGAGCAAGCCTGGGAGCAACAGCTGCATCCGCCACCGCTCCGGCGGCGCCGGCCCTAGGCGACTGAGGGGGCGAGGGCGGTGCGGGAGCCGAGCGCCGAGTGGAGGCTCCGACGCCCCGCGCACCGCCGCGCACCAAATGCGGGTTATCGCTGGAGGGGGAGGGGTGGGGGAGGGGGAGGGTGGGGGAGGGGGAGGAGAGGCGGCCGAATCGGGCTCGATAGCCAGGCGTAGCCGAGGCCTAGCTCGACGACTCCAAATCACTCCACCTCAGTAATGGCGTTTGGTGTCAAGTGGAACGAGACTTGAGGAGAGCGGCGGGCCCCCGGGTCGCCTCGCCCCCCGCGCTGACCCGGCCCCCGGCGCAGAGGTGGGGGCGGGCGGCACGCCGCGCGGGGAGACTCCATCCTCCTCCCTGGCTCCAGACAGGACGGGAAGGGGGAGGAGGGGGAGGGACGGAGCCGTCAGCCATTTTCCCTTACAGTCCAAAACACACACACACACACACACACACACACACGCTCTCGGGACGCCGGCGGGGCAACGAGCTGGGGCACGCGCGCCCGCCGGGCCCCGGAGCGGAGGAGGGGAAGCAGGGAAGCCCCCGGCCCGGCCGCCGCCACCGAGGGAGGAACCTCGCGCACACACTCGCACACCCCTCTCGCCCTCCTCCCCTCTCCCACATCCAGCTGTTGGCCCCGGAAAGGCGCGTCGCCCCGGCGCGCCTGGCTACTCACCGCACAACACAGGCGTCTTCTCACAACCAGGACACGCGGAGGCGGGACGGCAGCCGGAGACGGCAGAGCTGGGTCCCGGTACACGGCCTAACCTGGGTGCATCCCAGGCCTGGGGGGGGCGACGGGCGACAAAGTGTGTCTAGAGGCTGCGGCGGCCCGCTCCCGGGCGTGAAAATGAGGGGGCTGCACGCGGATGCCTGAACTCGTTCCTCACTGCGCCCGCCCCACAGCAGCAGGGGCCGCAGCCGCCTCCTCCTTCTCCTCCTCGGCCGGCGGCGGCCCTCTTCCCCCTTCTCCCCTTGGGCTGGGGCACTCGCTGAGCTCAGACGGGCTCCGGGCGGTGCGTTTCTCCTGCGTCACCTCCTCCTGCTCCTCCTCCTGCAGCGGCAGTTTCACCTTCCCCGAATCGCCGCCTCAGTCCCCGCTCCCAGCACGGGGCGCTGAGGCAGCCGCCTCCCGCGAGAGAGGCGGCAGCAGTGGGTTCCCGCGAGGCCTGGGAACAGTGCAAGGCGGGGAGGGGCTCGGCGCAGCAGAGGCCGGGGGCCGGGTGCGGCGAGGTTGCAGCTCCGGCGGCGGCGGAGACTACCTTCCGCAGTCCTCGTCAATATGGCGGACCCGGCAAATCCAAAAAATAAAGAAAGAAAAAAGAAAAGGAAAAAAAAAAAAAAAAACCGCTCGGCCAGTGGCAGCGGCGGTAGCGGCGGCAGCAGCAGCGACGGCGGCGGCAGCGCAGACTCTCACTAGCCCCAGCGCCGCCCAAAGCCCGGAGGGTCTCCGCCCCCGTCAGGCCCCACCTCCTCGAGATTCCGCCTCCCGGACCTCCCCCTGCCCCTGCCCAGCCCCCTCCCGCTCAGCTGCCCCTTCTTCTTCCCCTCCACCCGGGGCTGTGGAGCCAAGGAGAACAGCGCGCACCGCCCGCGCCGGCGTAGAGACGCCTGGAACCCTTGAGGGCTGGGTGGGGGAGGGGAAGACAATGCGGTAAAGATTGTTCACGCAATAACGTTTCTTCCAGCCAACCCCTCTTGGGGCGCGCTACGACTAGAAACTAGAAACTGTTCCATACCCCTCGGCTCAGGAGCGGACAAAGGTGGCACGAGGACGAACCCAAGTGGAGGAAGGGAGGCCCGAGATTTGGTGTGGCACGCGGGAGAAGGAGCTGGACGGCGGGGACTAACAGGGTGTGTGGACAGGAAAGAGTTAATTGCTGGAGCCGCAGCCGCGTCGCTAAGTTCGATTTGGGCCGCTTGTTTTTGTTCCATTGTGAACCGTGGCTCCGCCGCCGAGTGCCCGGATGATGACGTCACCGGTCTCCCCCTTTTCCGGGATTGTTGGGGGAGGGGTGGCAGAAAGTTGAGATCCCCAGCCCAAGCTCTAGGCGTTGCCCCCGCGGTGCCTGGGGGGGGGGGTCCCAGCGTCGCAGCTGACTCGTACCACGTGACACTGGAACGGGCCGGGCCAGCGGGCTGTGGCGGTGCGAGGTCCCGCGAGTTTGGCCACCTGCTCCTCGCCGATAGGGGGAAGGTGTGGCTATATCTCCTTCAGCGGGAGGAGGAAACATTGGGAACTGAGGGCCTGGTTCCCACCCTATGAGGGAGGAGCTATGAGAAGCTCATTCACAGGATCCTGCATCATCAGTACTTGGAAGCATTTAGGCTTTTTTAAAACCTAACTGTGACCAACTACCTTTTGGATCCCCTAAAACAGACCAGTAAAGACAAAAATTATACAGCGCCATGGACGGCACAGCGACTAGGCAGTATTAAATGTAGCAAGACTAACCTCCTGCCAAATCATCTGCATTATTCAGTGTTAAACCCGGAAGGGAGTTATAGACGCATCCGCTATGTCATGGACTATTTTCTACATGTTTATAATCCAAAGTGCAGGCTGCAGAGGAAAAAATTTAGGCAAATCTCAATTCTACAGTCTATCATGCACAAATGAGAAAATAAATACAGTTTCTAATTTGTCACATTTCCTTTTGATTTAAAAATGCTTATGAGCACCAAAGCACACACATAATCATAGCAAAACCCTACAAAACAAGATCTATTTTGTATAAGACAGTGTTGAATTAACTTAGGCTATAAGTACATTACTTTCTAATAAAGGAGTGTTAAAATGGA